AAATGTTGTAATTGTGGTATTTACGTTAATGTTATTGAACAATTATTCGCCGACGGGGAAGTAAACATTGGTGAAAACTCATCAATGTTTACCGAGCCTGAGGCGAATAACTATTTCAATATAATTTTTAGAGGTGAATATCAGGGACTACAGAATAACGGACTAAAACATAAAAACACAGACGCAATTGTTGGTTTGCGTACACGAATACAGCCGTAGTTTTAATAATAAGTTTACATGTACATCGATTGTGAATCAATTTACTCATCGTTCATGTTGTATTCACCGCCTGGCGCGGTGAATATAGCGTCATATAAGGAATCGCTCAACCAATCAGATTGCTGGAAACCCTTTGTTCAGCTCTGGAATTATACTAAACACCAAGAACATGGCAAACCAGAAGGACAAGAGAGAATGAAGGGTAAGAGAGTTAAACTTATACCCAAGGTAATTCGGCTCATCTTTCTGATATTTTTAGATCACTCAGGCAGAAGACTCTAACAATAGCCAATCCTGTGACAGGGATTTTCCTGTCGAAGTCGACAGCAAACGACTTAAAACGCATTGTTATTCCCCATGAAAACTTAACATCCACTCTNCACTATATCACTACAAGGTAATATAAAGGTCTTTTCAAACATGCTACAGTAAATGTTGTAATTGTGGTATTTACGTTAATGTTATTGAACAATTATTCGCCGACGGGGAAGTAAACATTGTTGAATATTCATGAATGTTTACTGAGCCTGAGGCGAGTAACTATTTCAATATAATTTTTAGAGGTGAATATCAGGGACTACAGAATAACGGAATAAAACATAAAAACACAGACGCAATTGTTGGTTTGCATACTCGAAATACAGCTGTAGTTTTAATAATAAGTTTACATGTACATCGATTGTGAATCAATTTACTCATCGTTCATGTTGTATTCACCGCCTGGCGCGGTGAATATAGCGTCATATAAGGAACCGCTCAACCAATCAGATTGCTGGAAACCCTTTGTTCAGTTCTGGAATTATACTAAAAACCAAGAACATGGCAATCCAGAAGGACAAGAGAGAATGAAGGGTAAGAGAGTTAGTCTTATGCCCAAGGTAATTCGGCTCATCTTTCTGGTATTTTTAGATCACTCAGGCGGAAGACTCTAACAATAGCCAATTTTGTGACAGGGATTTTCCTGTCGAAGACGACAGCAAACGACTTAAAACGCATTGTTATTCCCCATGAAAACTTAACATCCACTCTTCATCTTCTTTTGAGATAGACAGTTGAAGTTTAGAATTTTGTAGCTAGCAATACTACTGTTGATATGGTGTATTTCCCTGTTATATTACCTGATCAAGAAGCTCACAGTAACCATCTAGTTTCTGACCATAACAGATCTTGTATGTCTTCACCCATTGTGGGTAGTCCTGTCTTCCTTGAGTGGCAATTGCTGTTACCTTGGCAATCTTCCTTAAGTTAACCTTTTAATCCAAAATTTAGCGAGAAATTTCAAGAATAATAACAGTAGCCTTACTTATGACTGTGATCTAGAACTTGTAACGGTTGAATGCCTTAGTCATGGTCTTGATGATTGAGAAATATTCTTACTATTGGTATTTTTTTTTATTTTACATATGCCCCTTTTCCCCCATTATCTTCATTTTCTGAACAACTAGGCGTTTTCTTCTTACATTATTGATTTCTGACAAGCCAAAGTGTAAATATAGCTCTAGGTTAGATATATTCTGTGAACCTTCTCAACGCGACTGAAAGTGCAGAGTTTGTTGTTGTTGTTTCACATCTCGATTCAATTATTGTTATTGTGGATCCTCATATAAACCTCTTGACTTTAATATTTCATGCATCTCATCTATTTTTTTGTTGTTGTTTTTCCTTTTGCTTTTGCTTTGATACAGTTTTTGATATTTGACTTCAAGTTCACATTTTAGCAGTTAATAAGTAACATCTTTTACCTGTATCCAATCTCCTAGTTTCACTAAGCCACACCAGCCTCCTTGGTCACTACCAGACTCTACGTTGTTCAGTCTGCCGAGTCGTGGGCCATAGTAAATGCTAACCTCTGAAGAGGCCGTGATGTCTGGGTCCGGAATGGACCTATCCTCTAGCCCCAGAGGTGAACTGCACTGTCCTTAATACATAAGAAAAACGACACACTGAGAAGGCTTGAAGAGGTAATGCCAAATCACGAGCGGCCGATTAATTTTGTTTAACTAACGCTAAAAGAAACTTCTAAGGCTTTGTAGCTTACGTAAGGCTTTGTTACTTACGACTTGTGTATCCTATCTTCGTCTATAAACAAAATGTTTCAGATGTTAAAAGACTCGTTTATACAGACTTTAAACAACTTGGAAACTGAAAACTGATTTTCTCTCTCTCCTCTACAAAACATTCAACCCAATAAATTTCTTTTTGAAATTAAAACTCAACAAGCATAGTCCGCTTTCGTCGCGAATCCATCAAAGAAAATAACTCACTGAAAGGGCGTTGAAGAGTCTTTCTGGAAAGAAGAAACCTTCGAGAAAGAGGAGGTGGAGCATCTCCGCAAATTACATTCTTTATGTTTGTTCCATCATTCTTCTTTAATTCTCTCTGACTTCATGCTGTTTTTATTATTTTACCGGACATTTCCTTCTTTCAAGCAATCTTCAATGTTTCAAATGCGTTGTACAGCACTGGGCTATGCTCACTCTCCAATTGCTGTCCCGCCCTTGATTCACAGAAACTTAATTTACACAATGCCTAAATTAAAACCTACCTCCAACTCCACAAATACCAAAATGTTCCTAAACGTTGGTAAAGATAAGGAAAACAAAGATGTAACTAAGGCTGCTTGAGTAATCGTTTTATCGTTAGCTCATTACCCTTAAACTTGAGAACGAGCGATGCAAACCTTTTGAAGCATGAACAGCAGGAAAATATGAATGAATTGTGCCAGAATCATTTTTCGGCAGAGCTTACTGAACAAATAGCGTCCTTGAGCGATGGCACTTGCTACGATTCAACAGCTGCAGGAACAAAATAAATAAATTATTCATGCAATTTTTGGTGGCTACTTAGCATAAAAAGACACTATTACCAAAATGGAAAATGAAACATAACAATGCCAATTAATGAAATAATATCTTATATTAATGGCAAACTGACTGTTGAGTTTACTTCGACGTTAAACCTTTTTACCAATGCTATCTGTTGGGCTGACGTTTCGCTTTGAAAAATTCGCTATGCCGTAGAACTGAGTTTAGTTCTTCGAAATTAGATTTTCGTTTCCAAAAAGCAGTTTTTCTGTCCCGCTGTTCCTTTTTATCTTGTCAGTTCTAAAAAGTGTTCCAAAACATATCAAAAACAGTTGCAAAATACAGGATAAACTGTCATATTATATCGTTGATAAGGTGAAATTGTAGAATTATCATATTATTACTGCACATATTTCTGTTCTTAGTGTAGATTACACGACCCTACAAGCAAACCTATTGCTTTAAACTAAATCGTGTGTAAATAAAGGATTGTTGTTGTTGTTGGTGGTGGTGGTGGTGGCGGGATAAAATGATCTTCCATCTTTATTTACGTATTTTTGTTTACAAAAATATATTGAATTATTAATTTCAATTGCATGAAGATTATTTTTATCTTGGTGCCAGAAGTCAAGTCAATAACTTGATAGAGACATGTAGAGGCCAGTTTGACGTTTTGGACAAACGTTTCACGAGGCAACATTTTAAGCGTCATAAATATTCACATGCAGAGTGATCCATAATTCTAAAGGATACAGTTAATTTACCCTCCTACGCAGTTGGTGTGAGCGGATCACGCAATCTTTCCTAATTCCCCGCAAAGGGAGCAAAGATTGCTTGATGAACCCAGAGCACCAACGCCTAGGTACTTCACAGCCAAGGCGGTCTTGCACGCAACTCAGTTTGGGCCAATAATTGACCCTACTCCCTGTGGAACGCAATTTTCGCTACTTGCAACGACTGAGGTT